CACTAGGCACAGGAAAGTGGCCGTCTAGGGCAGGAGAGCTGCCAGCCTGGCCACCCAGGAGCAGGTGTGCATGAAAATCAAGGGGGTCCACTGAGACACTGAGCCCTGAGCTTACAATGGCCGTCCTGGGTCAGACCAAAGGTCCATCTAGCCCAGTAGCCTGTCTGCCAACAGCGGCCAACCCTAGGGACCCCGGAGGGGATGGACTGAAGACAGTGACCAATCCATTTGTCTCGTGCCATCCCTCTCCAGCCTTCCACAAACTTTGGGCAGGGACACCACTCCTACCCCCTGGCTAAGACTACTCCATGGACCCAACCTCCATGACTTGATCTCACTTCCCTTTAAACTCTGTTCTAGTTGTAGCCTTCACAGCCTCCTGCAGCAAGGAGTTCCACAGGTTAACTATTTGCTTTGGGAAGAAGAACAACTTTCTCTTACTAGTTTGAAGCCTGCTACCCATTCCTTTCCTTTGGTGTCCTCTAGTCCTTCTTTATGGGAACTCAGGAAGAACTTTTCTGAATGCACCCTCGCCACCCAACCCCTGCTTTTAGAGACCTCTATCCTGTCCCCCCTCCGTCTCCTCTTTTCTAAGCTGAACAGTCCCAGTCTCTGTAGCCTTTCTTCATCTGGGACCTGTTCCCAACCCCTGATCATGTTAGTTGCCCTCCCCTCTCCCAGCCTTTCTCTTCCCCTCTCCCACCTCCTTTTCCCAGTCTCCCCCAGTTTTGTTCAATAAAGACAGAGTCAATGTTGGAAGAAACGTTATCTTTATTTTGTACATCAATAAGAAGGGGGGCTAGGGAAGGGTAAGTGGAAGGAGGTGAGGGAGGAATGGGGTACGAGCCCCCGATGGGGAGGACTGGGCTGGCTCTGCGGGCTTCTGGGGGTGGAAGCTCTCCTGCAGCCCCCCAATTGCCCCCTTTCCCCAGATGGCAGCCTGCAGCAAGTGTAGCCGGGCTGATGGCCGAGTGGTGTGATGTGCCCAGTGTGGGTACTCCGGGCACTCCAAGCCAGAACTTCTTTGCAAGCGGGGCACCCCTTAGAACTGTCTGTCCGGGGTGGGGGTCGGGACCCTTTAAGCGCAGCCCTCGGCTAGCCTGAGACAGCATCTCCACGCTCTAAGTCCTCCTCTGATGCCCTGCCGGCACTGCTTCCGGCCATCCTTAAGCTCTGTTCAGAGTCCACTCAATGTGGACTTGCTAGTTCGAATTAGCAAAACGCTAATTCGAACTAGTTTTTAGTTCTAGTCGCGTTAGTTTGAATTAGCTTAGTTCGAATTAACTAATTCGAACTAAGTTAGTTCGAACTAGCGCTGTAGTGTAGACATACCCAGAGTGAATACAGTCCCCACTACATCACATGTAGATGCCCACATTGTGCAGAGGGGATCTGTAAAGCACCTAATATCAGAATCCCTCACTATTGAGACTCAGAGCCTTCATGTAGTAAACTCCCTATAACTAGAGACATAACAGATTTGCTATGGCAGGTGATAAACTTTATTTTATTTGCAAAAGCTGTGAGGAGTTCTGTGGCATCTTATAGACTAACTGAAGTGTAGGAGCATAAGCTTTCGTGGGCAAAGACCCACTTCGTCAGATGCATGTCATGCATCTGACGAAGTGGATCTTTGCCCACGAAAGCTTATGTTCCTACACTTCAGTTAGTCTATAAGGTGCCACAGGACTCCTCGCCGCTTTTGCAGATTCAGACTAACACGGCTACCCCTCTGATACTTTATTTTATTTGTAATGCTTAAAGTTTAATTCTAAGGCAACTATGGGGCAGGGGAGCAAGGCACCATATGACACTGGAGATGTGAGCTAATCAACAAACTTTTGATGTTAGTTTGTTACATATCAAACCATTAATGTTTTTTGTACTTTTATTCTTACTTCAGAAATAGTTTGTTTCCTGATTACAGCCAAATATAGCTGTCAACTGCCTTTCAGCTGTGTAGTGGGGTGTGCTGAAGCCTGAGAATAATTGAGTACTTGCTGAACAGCTGTGGCTCCCTCAAAGTTGGTGGGAGGTGTTCTGCAAGTGCATGGTATCCCCAGGATTTGCTTCAGTGTGCTATTTTGTAACTAGCATTGCTGTAGTGTTTCATTATCCACATTATATCTTTTCCTCTTTCAAATGCAAAGCACACATAACCCTCATGGCCTGTGGTGTTTCAGAGTAGGTGGCCCTGCTGTAACCATTACCTGTGTTCATGGATTCATAGGTTTTAAAGCTAGAAAAAAGAATTCTGATCATTATGATGTGCTTTCCCTATTTGCAGCTTAAGGAACACCCAGAGAAAGGGGTGTATGTGAAAGGGCTGTCACTGCACACCGTGCACAATGTGGCCCAGTGTGAGCGCATCATGGAGACAGGTTGGAGAAACCGAGCAGTGGGCTACACCTTAATGAACAAGGATTCTTCCCGTTCCCACTCCATCTTCACCATCAACATGGAGATCTATGCTGTAGGTAGGTGCCAGATTCCCAGGCCTTTGGGGGCTGAGTATAGAGTGAGCATGTGCAATCTGGTAGGTAGTCCCAGAATAAAAAGATGATTCTTGAATATATCTGATCAAATTATTTATTTTCGGTACAGTGGCTGAACCACAATATCCGTGGAGGGAAAAGTGGTTCATTTCTAAATGAAACTCTTATGTTTTCCGTTTTTCTTGCCAAAACAAAACCAAAACCATTCCATGTGATGTTTTAAAAATGTTTTGATTTTTTTCTAAGCAAGTCCGACATTTTCAAAATGTATCTGTTTTATTCAGCCAAAACTATTTTTAAATTTAATCCTAATTTGCAAACAATTTCAGAATCCTGAAAAATGCATTTTTCAGTGAATGTGCTGTTTCCTGAAAAAAAAATTTGCCCAGCTGTACTCTTGAATGATTTTAGGTATAGAATCAGAGCTGTGCCTAAGTGCCAGGATTCACTACAGTGCAAATGATTGAGTATTGATGAATACTTTCCCTTGCTTCTCTGTGGATGGAGGACAAGTGTCCTACACATTGGTTGGGAGCATATTTCCCATTGCCTCTGTGTTTCTTTTTCTTCTAAAATGCTTATTTGGTGCTGTTGAAATGTGCTGCACTGACAGCCCTAGCACCTGAGGTCCATGCTTGCACTTGAATTCATAGATTTTAAGACTGGAAGGGACTGTTATTATCATAGAATCAGAATCCTATAAATGTAGGGTCAGACACAACCTCAAAAGATCATCAAGTCCAGCCACTGTCCTGAGGCAGGACCCAAAGTTAGATCATCCCCAACAGGTGTTTGTCCAGTCTGTGCTTAAAAAACCTCCCATGATAGGGATTCCACAGCTTCCCTTGGAAACCTATTCCAGCACTTAACTATCCTTATAGTTAGAAAGTTTTTCCTAGTCGCTCCCTTGCTGGAAATTAAGATGATGACTTGTCCTACATTCAGTGGACATGGAGAAGGAGAGGTTGCTCACCTTTCTGTAACCTGATTTCTCCTTCGAGTAGTGACTCTGTTGGTGTTTCACTCAGGTCTCATTGTATCTTCATGTCACTGATCGGAGTTCCTTTTCTACCCTCTTCAGCTGAAGACAGTGTCTCAGCAGTGCTGTCCTTTCTGACAAAAAATAGTAAATAATCTAGCTAGTTTTAAGGGTTGTTCATAGTTTGTCAGTTTATATTTAGTCTAACCTACTTCTCTATTTTTTTTTTTTAAAAAAAAAAGCTTCCCTGGGTTTTTCCTTTTTACCTTCTTACTCATTTTTTGCCCCAAGTTTTGAACCCTTTCGATCGTTCAACGTGCCAGGCTCTCCTGGCCTCAAGAAATGCAAGTCATATCAGGACTCAATGCCAGTTTCTGATGGACACGCTCTTGTATAAAATGCTGCTGATAGTCTTTCATTTCAATGAATAGAGAATATACTCACAAAACTTTTACTAAAAATGGGGGAATGAGGAATGACCCTCAGAATAACCAAATTAAGTGATTATGTTGGATATTAGGTTGGCTATTAGGAAAAACTATTTCGCTAGGAGGGTGGTGAAGCACTGGAATGGGTTACCTAGGGAGGTGGTGGAATTTCCGTTCCTAGAGGTCCTGGCTTGACAAAGCCCTGGCTGGGATTCAGATTGGTCCTGCTTTTAGCAGGGGGTTGACTTGATGACCCTCCTGAGGTCTCTTCCAGCTCTATGATTCTATAATGTGTGGGGGTTAATTGTGCCTTGATTTGTTGAACTGCTAGGCTCTGCTCCATAAGCATATAAAATGTGGGAGCCTTAAATCCTGATGTTTACCTAAGAATCCAAACTAAACGCTTACACTCCTCTCATGTTCAGATAGGGCTCGGAATTCCCATCTAAGTTCATAGAATCATAGAATACTAGAATTGGAAGGGATCTTGAGAGATCATAAAGTCCAGTCCTCTGACATCCCTGCTAGATGTTTATCTAACCTGCTTTTAAATATTTCCAATGATGGAGATTCCACAACCTCCCCAGTCAATTTCTTACAGAGCTTAACGATCCTGACAATTAGGAAGTTTTTCCAAATGTCCAACCTAAATCACCCTTGCTGCTTCTTCTCCTGTCATCAGACGTTTCCTCCCTTCTCCTTTGTAACACCTTTTTAGGTCTTGAAAGCTGCTACCATCTCCCCTCTCAGTCTTCTTTTTTCCAAACTAAATAAACACGGTTCTTTTAGTCTTCCTTCATAGGTCATGTTTTCTAGACCTTCAGTCATTTTTGTTGCTCTTCTCTGGACCTTCTCCAATTTCTCCACATCTCTCCTGAAATGCAATGCCCAGAACTGGACACAGTACTCCAGTTGAGGCCTAATCAGTGCAGAATAGAGTGGAAAAATTACTTCTTGCATCTTGCTTACAACATTCCTGTTAATGCATCCCAGATCCATGTTTGCTTTTTTTTTTCCAAAGTGTCACACTGTTGTCTCATATTTAGCTTGTGGTCCACTATGACCCCTAGATCCCCCTCTGCAGTACTCCTTCCTAGACAGTCACTTCCCATTCTGTATGTGTGAAACTGATTGTTCCCCCCTAAGTGGAGTACAGGCAGTCCCCGACTTACGCGGATCCGACTTATGTCGGATCCGCACTTACGAACGGGGCTTTTCTCGCCCCGGAGCTCACGGGCGGCGGGTCTCCACCCGTGTCCTCCGGGGCGAGAAAAGCTTCTCCCGGTCTCCCTGGTCTGCTGGGGGGGTCCAGCAAAGCCGCTGGATCCCCCCAGAAGACCAGGGGGACAGGAGCAAAGCCACACGGGCGGCGGGGTCCCTCTGCCTGGGCACAGGAGCAAAGCCGCACAGCCACATGGATGGCGAGGT